CAGCGGGGTGGCCCTTATCACCCACCGTCCCACAGCTCCACAGCTCAGTCCACTCTCACTAAATATGACAACAGGAGCTCTGCGCCTCTGGCTCGTCCTCGCTGTCCAGCTGAGATGCGTCACGCTGCTGGCCATCCCGCTGGACAGAGGGACCTCAGGGCGGCAGGACGGGTTGGATGCGACGAGCGCGGCGAGTGAGAAGCTGGACGCGTTGTTCCATCTGAAGGATTTACCTCGGGGTCCAGCGGTGGCTCCGCACAAGAAGGCTCCTCAGTTTATGTTGGATCTGTTTAACGCGGTGACAGTCTCTGATGGACGCCCGAGGAGCCAGAAGGAGATTTTGGAGGGAAACATAGTGCGGAGTTTCGAGGATAAAGGTGAGTAACACTGACGTGTACCCAAAAATGTACTTTGGAAAAAATTAAGCCATACAGCAGCATTCAGTGTCACGGATTACAGTGCGTAATTGTTATCCAAACGCGCAATTGCGCACCATTACGCGCGGCTAATAACCCCGTTGAACAGCCTATTTTAAACACTTTGATACATGTATTCATAAAAACACTAATTAAGTGTTTCATTAAAGGTATGTTTGGTGTTTTTCCGCCTGCAGGTCATGCTGGAGAGAGGTTTCACTTCTTCAACCTGTCGTCTTTCGGCAGAGAGGAGAGAATGATAAAGGCGGAGTTCCGCTGGTTCAGAAAGAAACAGAAGTTTTACCTCGGAAAATCATTTGGGCCTCATTTCTATAAGGTAAAATACCTTGTGGTGATGATTTTTAATCTGTTTCATCTTGATATTTGAATTTCGAGTAAGTGAACATCAGCAATGAGTTATAATAATATTTTGGTGCTAGAGATAGATAGATTGATAGATAGATAGATAGATATATAGATAGATAGATAGATAGATAGATAGATAGATAGATAGATAGATAGAACTTTATTTAGTGAACTAACAGCTTTGTGACTGTCCAGGTGGATCTGTATGAGGTGCTGGACAGCCGAGTGAAGCCATGGAGAGGAAACCTCATCACCTCCAGACTGGTGCCCCTCTACACACAGGGATGGGAAGTCTTCAATGTCACTCAAACGGTAACACCCTCTCTATTTTGGGTTTAATTTGTTGTATTTTTAAAAAAGATTTAATAAAAATATTGTAAATAATTTGTCAAATTTATTCACATTAAATAACTGTTTATGAGGTCTTTCCAATGTGTTTAACCCGTTCAATTGTGCTCTGAATGTCAGGTGTCCAAGTGGATCCGCAACAGCCAGGAGAATAATGGCATCCTTGTGGTGACCACACTTCCCTCTGGTAACTGGATGGAGTCACTGGTGTCCTCGTCCAAGCAGAATGGAGAGCTGACAAATACAAACTCCTACTTGGTCATATTCTCAGACGACGGGAGGACAGGAGCATCAAACCAGTCATACCTAGGTAAGGTGAAGGGTGTGATACATAGGGTGTAAGATTGTGGGTGTGAGAGGGTAATTAAAATAAAATGCAGAATAAACCAAAAATCTGTGAGATATGTTTGAAATCAGTTTCAAATTAGCTGAATTTTATTTTAGATTTGATATTCATAATGGCGTATAACACATTTTATGCCAAATTTTATTCCAATGTCACTTTTCATGACAGTGTTGTCACCAGCCTCTCACCTTTCAGCTAATCACATGTCCCCTCACCCCCTGAAGCTGCTTAAGTTCAACAGCTGCTACCAAATTTAGCCAGTTAGCTCCTGTTAGCTAGCTAGAGCCACAACAATGCTGAAGTAATTCTGAAGCAACCATTAGTCTCCTGCTATAAATAAACTCAGCGCACAGACATGGGGAATAAACTTCTGTACTTTTCAAGCCTTAACTTAAAATTTTATTTATTTATTTAACCAGATATGTCCTATTGAGATCAACAATCTCTTTTACAAGGGGGACCAAGAAAAAAAAAAGTTACAGGCAAACAACCACACAATAAAAACATAATAGATACACATGTAGGAATACTAGAGCAGCTACGCACAATGACAAGAACCAACCGGCTCAGTTATCCTTGTACTTATGAGAGCTTTAAAATCAGGCAGAGAGACCAATTCATGTAGTTTCAAATCTTCTTGAAGGCTATTCCAAGCGAGAGGAGCATAAAAGCTTTCTTTCCCAGTTTAGCCCATACACTAGGAACAGACAATAAAACTAAACCTTGAGACTATACTAGTGACTGAGCCTACGAAAGGTCAAAGAAGGCCAACTGGCCCTGGAATAAAGCGCACAGTGATGAGTTAGGGCTTTACAATTTGTAGCAAATCTCAGTGCACAATGCAAATAATGTGCAGATGCAATTGTGTACAACAAATCACCCTAATCCAGAACTGGTAGAAACCACCCACAGACAGACCATTTGTATATGAATCAATCGTGATGTGCTACCTTCAATTCATGAAGAAAACTTTGCTTTTCACGTATACCAACAACAGATAACAGCAAACAAATTGATTTGTTGGTTGATTGGGGACCACGTTTCGGCAAAACTATATCAAACATATTTACTTGAATTATACGGCACAAGTTGTGTGAGAGTTTGTGAACAGTTACTTTGAGGTAGTTTGCTTCTGTAAATGTGGTCCCCAGCCTCTGTGGAGGCACAGAGTTTTCTTCACAAGTTCAAGGTAACACCATGCGACTAGATAATTTACAGATGGTCATTTTGTGGGTGAGCAGCAGAGCTAAATGACTCATATATTGGCCGTGTGTCTTCCTGTGATGTATGTGATTGTGTTCCTCTGTTCACGTGTACTGTATGTGTGTTTGTGTGTGACATCTGGCATGTGAACGTATATGAGACAGCTGCTGGGTGTGGAATGTCCTCAAGTGTTTACACTGACAATGTGCTGACCACAGATCGACTCAAAGGGAAGCTCTCTGACGTAGACTGGAGCTTCACTGACAGCTAATACTTCACCCACAAAATGACTCAATGTATAAAGATTAGTCATGCTGTTACCTTTCATACATGAAGAAAAGTGAACATGGCAAACATATTGATATGTTGATTGATTGGGGACTGTGTCGAAACATCCAAGTCTAATCTATCGAGTCACATGCCCAGTACTTCCCACAGTATCATTAGTACTAGAGTTTGGCATATTACAGATGCTAAAAATGTAGTTTCTTTTGTTTATGTTGCTATTCTCACCCAATGTGATCGCCTTCCTCTTTCCATAGGACAAGCCCAGCCTGCAGCAGCAGCCGCCGAGCTCCACGACCATCGCAGTAGGAGACGACGTGCATCTCCAGGTTTCCTGCCCCACAGCCGCTCCCAGTCCTGCCAGCGGGTTCCCCTCTTCGTCGACTTTGAGGAGATTGGCTGGTCCGGCTGGATCATCTCTCCCCGGGGATACAACGCCTACCACTGCAAAGGCTCGTGCCCGTTCCCACTAGGGGGAAGTCTCAGGGCGACCAACCACGCCACAGTGCGCTCCATTATGCACGCGCTCAAGCTCTCTGGTGATGAAGTGGGAGCACCCTGCTGTGTTCCTGACAGACTCCAATCCATCAGCTTATTATATTTTGATGATGAGGAGAATGTGGTGTTGAAGCAGTATGACGACATGGTGGCGTTGAGCTGTGGCTGTCACTGACTGGGTATGCATCTCCTGTGCTCTTTAACACTGGGACAATGAGAGATTGGGAGATGATGGTTTGCTGAAGTTCATCAAAACACTTTATTTTCATGCATATGTTTAAATATTGTATTATTTTGAGAAATAAAACAACTATTCCTTAGCTTTTATCAGTGATCCTTTGTCTAGTTTAGTCCTGGGATTCCAAAACTTCTTATAAGATGATGCCCAAATGGATTAACAATAGACTAATGCCAGAGTTTAAAACTCTTTAAGGATAAACCATGCAGGACTTTCCTAAAAAACAATGCAAGACTCATACTAAGTAAACCCTCTTAAAAATCACTTATGACCCACTCTCAGTGTGTGGCGGTGTAATTATCTGCAGAGACTCTGGCTTCTGCCTGGATTTTCTTATTGTTTTCTTATTTTCTTTGTTCAGGACATTTATGTGCGTGTACCCCCACAGCCTCAGGTGAGGTGAGGTTTCATAAAAAGGTAGCGACAGCAGGCATCCAAGAGACACAGCACCAAAAAACTTCCAATATAGTGAGGTAAAATGCCAAATGAGAGTGAATCTGGGGTTGATTCTCACCTGTATTTTCACTGGCGTATGTGTTTACAAACAGTAGCCTGTAATCCTGCATAGTATACTTTTACTTAGTTTTTGTTCGTAGTTTTGGATCAGTAATATTTAGTCATTTCCAGACGGAAAGAATCGTCCAAACAGGCTCTGCATTTCCTCTTAATTTGTTATTTAGTTGTGCACATTATTAAATCAAAGCAATACACAGGCTATCATTCACTTTCTTATGAAGTTCACTTCTGTTGTTACAGTAACTGACCAGCAGATGGCGAGATAGAGCTATGTTGGAAGATACAAACCTATTCCTTTACTGTAATTCTGCTGAAACTGGGAGTTTGGGGTCCTCCCCCAAGAAATTTTAGGCATTTAACACTTAATTTCCTGCATTCTGTGATTTTTTATGCACCAAGTTTTGCCTTTTCTGCATCCATTTATGGTGGAAATGTCTTTAATTTCATCAAAATAAAGTTCTCTACTACTTTGATGTTCAGGTATCTGGATCAGATGGTGATTGTATTTTGAAAACTGGACTCAAAGTACATAAATAATAAGCATAAGCAATTACAGAACCACTTTGAACCTGTTTCAAATTAGAAATTTTAAATCAAGGAGGAGTTATTTGCCCAGCTGTCAAAAACATTTGTGAACATGTGGGTTTCATTGCTTGCTAACAGCATTAAATAAAAAATGGCACTTTTATCTGTTATTGAATTATAAATTAATCAGCAATCTGAACCTATGCTACAAATGAAGAATGTCAGTGCAGCGGTATGAATAACATCAGCACAATAAAAGTCTGTAGCAACAGTTGTTTTTTATTGGAATGGATCACAGACACAATACAACCCTGCTTTTATTCTAGTTTAGAAAAATGCCAATGCAACCAACGTGCGAAACCAATTCTCCTTCATGTCCTCTGCGTATTAAAAAACATTAATTGCAACAACGCCAGTTCAAGCTTTTAGACAGTATAAATGAAATTTGATTTGTATCAAACAGATTCAACAGGTGTAACTGCAACTTCAACTTTAGCATGCAATATGTTAATTTTGTAGTTGTGTTAACATGATCAGTTCAAATCAGTAACATACAAATAAAAAACAATATTTTGAGTGAATTTTGTTTCAAGTATCTCTAATGATAAGTTAAGTGACTGCAAACTGTCCGGCAAAAAAGAAATTTCAAGGCAACAAACTTTGCAGGTAATAAAACAAAAAGCCACAATACCCGAAAAGCAGTGGAGACCCCAATACCACGGTAACTGTGTATAATAAACTCTCAGCATTTACAATAAATATTCCACATTTACATTCAAGCTTACCCTCTCTGTTTAAACTTAAATACATTATGTACATGGATCACCCATGTCCCTTATCTTTCTCAACAATTGCACATTATCTTACACAAATTGTTCAACTCACATTCAAACAACAGCATTCAACAATAATCAGAAATTCACAACTTCAATATCTCCTGTCAGTTTACACTTGAGTCAAACCCGTTTCTCTTTACAAAACCAGTCGAGGCCTCAGTAGCTTCACAAAGCCTGCGCAGCTTTTGTGTCTCATGTAAGTTAAGGCAAGTAAAGCAATACAAGGATCAGACGCTTAACCTTGAAAGAAAAATCCACCCTGAAACACTTCAACACTTTTCAAAATTAAACAGGTACTAGCTGTGGGGTAGTGGAAGCTGATGAGGTGGGTGTACTACTCAGTAGATTGGTAAATTACCAAAGAGGAAGTGGGTATACCCTCCCATAAACTCTAATGACTTTCTGCTGATAGGTGCTGATACTGTAAACGGCCAGAAAAAGAGGTGGGTATATCCAGTTTACATGCATATACTCTCCACAGGTGGGTACACTGTTATGGGCCAGAAAAAGAGATGGATATACCCCGTATAACTGCGTATACCCTCCACCATTCTACTGGGTATTGGCAAAACAGTGTAAACAGAGGATGGATTATTCCTTTCAAACCTCATGGCCTATCAGCTCGGACAGTCCAGCTCCTCAGTTCCTACAAACTCCCCTAACACGTGGTCATGTTGACCGTAGATGGGCTCTAAATATGGATGCCCCTCCTGACAGTGCATTTGCCTCAACCTTTCAACGTTTCTCTGCCCAAACCCCTCTGGCTCCATATGAGGGGCTTGAATGGTAGCTTTCTGAGCCATTGGAGAGAGAGGCACTGGGACAAAGCTGTGGTAAACAACCAGGGGTGGGGTCAAAACCTCCAAGGAGGATGCTTGAGGAACAGCGCCCTCTGGCGGCTGAACTGGCAGCTGCACATAGCTTCCTGTTTCAGGATCAAAGAAGGTTTTTGTCTTGACTTGTACGGGCATATCTACAAAGAAGTACTGCCCAGAGTCTGGATCCTGGAGGAGCTTACGTTGGGTCATAGGAAAGGACTGCGTAACAATGGTGTGTTCCATGCTAGACTGGCGTGAAAGCTGGCTAGTGTGGCTGTTGTGGCTTGACTGGCGGGAGAGGGTGGTAGGGTTGGGGGTAGGGTTAGGGTTAGGATTAGGGTATGCATCGATACTGTGACTCCTTCTGAATGGGTTGTCTCTGACCGCCTTGTCTCTAGCTCTGCCTCTCTGCTGAAGCTCGTCCATGATGGATTTTTCAATGCGCTGAGTCCTTGGATCAAGCTTTTCATTGACTGATGTATCTGCACTGAGCCTGCGCTCCACTTTATCTCCTAGGTACCTATCAATGCTTTGTGATCGGTGGAATGGCTTGTCCGACATGGGTCTCTCGATGAGCTGAGCTTTGTACACCGGTACATTACTGATGACCCTATCACTACTGTAGTGCCTTTGCTCTGGCTTATCTCGAATGTGTCTGTTGCTGGTGCGTCCTTGCCTTTCTGTAACACTTGGTAGTGCTTCATTGCTCTGGTTATTGTTTTCCACAGAACCATGGCTCTCTCTCCGAGTTTTGTGGCGCACATCGGTTCTGTCGTGGTGCTGGTTTCCACTGTTGTGGTCTCTTCTTTCACTGGATTGTTGCTCACTCTGGTCATCACCCTTTTTGCCATGGTGACTTTCACTGTGATGATGGCCATCTTTAATCTTTTCTTTGTGATTTCTCTCACTGCTCTTGCTACTTCTACTGCTGCTGCTTTTGTGCTCAGACTTGTCACTCTTGTGTTTATCCCCTTTGTGTTTGCTGCTGCTTTGAGATGACTTGTGGGAGGACTTCTGGGCCTCCTCCTTCTTCATCCTTCTATTTGCCAACTTAATGGCTTTGAGAACAGCTTTTTCAGATTTGGGTAAGACAACTGGTGGTTTAGGCAGCCCTGTTTGGCTGTCATTGCCACTGCAGGGGGACCCAGACCGTTCACTGGGAACCTTTGACACTCCAGCACTAGTTCCCATTTCATCAGCTGTGTCAGCTGTACTGGTTGTTAGGCTCTCCACTCCCTCAGATGACAGAGTCACGCCAGACAATCTGTCATCCTCCTGTGGGACAGTGAGGAACCCTCCAGCTTGTGGTTTCTTTGGGTTTTCATTTTGTAGATTTGAAGGAGACAGGAGCAGGGGAGGTGAACTGATTGATGGAATCTCTTTAGGTTTGAAGATTTCAATTTGGATTGGTGCGCTGAATGGACTCTCTTTAGGTGCGAAGATTTCATCTGGGATTGGTGCGCTGAATGGAATCTCTTTACGTTTGAAGATTTCATTTGGGATTGGTGCGCTGAATGGAATCTCTTTAGGTTTGAAGATTTCATCCGGGATTGGTGTGCTGATTGGAATCTCTTTAGTTTTGAAGATTTCATCTGGGATTGGTGCGCTGGACAGAATCTCTTTAGGTTTGAAGATTTCATCTGGGATTGGTGCGCTGAATGGAATCTCTTTAGGTTTGAAGATGTCATCTGGGATTGGTGCACTGGATGGAATCTCTGTAGGTTTGAAGATTTCATCTGGGATTGGTGTGCTAATTCTGATGGCGGGTTCATTAGCCAGAGGGAGCTCTGGAGTTTCCTTTACTTGATGTACCTCCTCTCCTTTTTCTGACCCACTCAGACTACCTCTTGGTGACCATGGTTGTATGGACTTCAACTTCAACTTATTACTGAAAGTGTTGTCTTTGACCTTAAATAAGGCAGGGATCCCCATAGGTGGTAAGAAAGTGTTAGAGGGTGACATTGGTGTCTGATTATGTTCGTCATGAGTTAAGCTTTGGCATGGTACTTCTGTCTCTTTTTGAGGAGACTTTACAACCTCCGCCTCGCTTTCATGATCACTTAAAGAATAATATTCTACTTCTGTCCTGTCCGAATCCTGTTTTGTGTTTCGTGAAAGATTTCGGATCAGGTCATCAACATCCTCCACCTCTCCAATCAAGTTCTCCAAAGAGTGGTAAACATTTGACTCAGTCTCTGTATTTCTGTGCAGGGCACTCTCCACAGAGAAGTAGGATGACTTTGAGGACAAGCTGGCTTGATCAGGAGGGCTCTGATTGATGCTGATGCCATTGACCAGTAGTAAGGGTGATATTATAGCTCTGGGCATTTCACCAATAGCGTCAGCATCCAAATTTATTTCCATGCTAGCTCTATTTATTTTGTCAGGTTCATCTGCTACTGAATTGTTAGTTACATTGTCATCTGGTGTGTTTAAATGGTCTGGTTTTAAAGGAGCTTTCCGCTTTACCTTACATGTTTCCTGTGCTCTGGCATTGATATTTTCAAATGTTGCTTCCATTGTGGGGCTATCTGCATGCAAGTCATTTGCCTTATATTCATGTCTTCTAGCCTCTGGTGATAAACACAATCTATTTTCAGACTGTGGGTATTCTGAAGGTAAACTGGACTCACATGATGCTCCATCTGTCACTGTAATAGATATTGCATTGTTTATCATATCCCACCTCTCTTTAACAGGATTGGTTTCATTTTGACTAGATTCTCTTGTGGATGGGTCACTATCTACTTCTTGTCTTCCTAAGCTTGTACTCCTCATTTCTTTTAAGCGGACCTCACCATTTTCATATTTTACAAATTTAGTACAGATATCCTCTCCCTCTCCATCTTTTAAACTATCTGTGTCCATGGTAACACTTTCATCTCGTCTACTCCCTCCCTTTCTGCTCCTAGGAGGAACAGGTGGAACATCTCCCTTTTTGCCTTCATTTTGGTTCATCAGAGTCTCTCCGCTCTCTTCAGATATCTGTCTAATTATATTTCTCAAATTCACCTCTTCTGATTCATAGCTAGGATTATCAGTTTTTTCCATGCCAGATAGCGCTAACCTACCACCTGATCTGTGAGTTTCGCCAAGCCTAGGTTCAGTTTGCGACAGAATCTGTCTCATGTGATTGTGGTCTCTTAGATCACCTAACCTCTCCTTTAAATCTTTTTCTTTTAGTGTAAGAGTGTTGCCATTTTGTTTTTCCTTGTCCTCTGTCATAGAATCTTTCATAGCTTTTTTACGTTGCTCTACCCTTGTTACGTAACTTTCATCAGCATTCTTATCAAATATTGGATTTGCATCCTGCTCTGTGATTTTATGCTTTCTCTTCTGCCTGTCTGAGATGATCTCTTCAAGTGCCATTTTAGCCCTGTCATAATTGTCATTTATAAGTGCTTTGTTTAATATCACGTTAGTGTCTGTCTTTGTGAAAGTCTCCTGCTTGCTCTGAGCCTTCTCTTTTTGTGCAAATAGGTCTCTCTTAGCCATTGTGTTTCCTCTCATAGACAGCATACCCTTCTTAATATTCCTTAGCTCCCTTGAGATCAAATCGTTTTTAGCCCTCGTCTCCTCATCTATGTTTGTAACACCAAATTTTTTTATTGCATTATCAAGAAAACGATCGCCGAGCCTTACTCTCTCCAGCTCTTTCAAAGCATGCAAATCATTAATTATATGCTCGCTATCTCGCATTTCTCTGGGTGACATAATCTCCTCATGTGTCTCCATCCCTGTATTCACTTTCTGATCACCTTCTTCAAACTCCTCTCCTTGGTCATCATCCGTCAATGCGTACCTCTGATATTTTATGTATTTGTTCTGTCTGGCTGAGAACATATGTTTAGGTTTTCCCTGCTTCTGGATAGATTCATTTTCGTCTGGTGGTATTTCCGCTTTAGCATCCCCTGAATCACCATTAGCTAGCTTGTCAATAGTACGTGTTTGCTGTTTTTCAAGAAAGGAGAGCTGAATATCAGTTTTAGCAAAATTTCTCTTTGGAACTGGTGGTGGCTCTTTCTTGACATTACTCTTTTTGCCATCCAGGGTTGCCTCAATCCTGCTAGGAGATAAAACATTGTTATTTTCTTGTACCATACTCTCCTTCTTGCTGCCAAACACTTTTGAATATTCAGTCTCATCTATTTCTTTCTTCCTTAGTTCATCTGTGTCTGAGGGCTTGCTGATGCTATCTGACTGAGCTGCAGATAGAGCTTTATTTTTGGCTGCATTAATTGCTTCCTTTGCTGCTCTGATCACATCCATTGTACTCATGGTTTGGCCACTGGTATCTTTTTCCTTAGGGCTGAAGTCTTTTTCTTTTATGTCTTTTGCAGGTTGTTTTGCTTTGTTTGGTACATTTGGTGCTCTTTTCCCTACTGACAGATTTGATGACAACCCCTCTTTCTCAAGGGCATAGGGTGAAATTATGGGTGAACGGTCTTTGCTAAAATTTAAAGTATTTGGAGAAAGCCCTGTGTTTGTTGGCAGTGCTGTTGGAGAGAGTTTGTTTAGCGTGAGTGCTGATAGTTCATTTGCCTCAGTTGGTTGGTCTATGTGTATAGGAGCATTGGTGCTCAGAGGGATTTGGAGATATTTCATATCACTATCAACAGGGCTGGCTTTCTTGTACAAATTCAGGGAAGGGTAGTTTTGCTTTTTAGCCTTGGGACTCCTGCTCTTCTTTGAGTGTATAAGGGAGGAGATAGGATTCTCTTCACCATGACTACCTGCAGCCTCCTTTTTGGTTTGCAGTAGATTTGATAACAGATAATCATCTGAAAGAGGTCCATCAGTATCCTGCTTTGTAAGAACAACAGTTGGGCTGCTGATAGCTTCCAAAACAGGACTGCAAACTGTCTGTTCATCTTTTGAAATGGCAGGAGTACTTAACCCAGATGCATAGCCCTCAGAGCCAGCTTGTGGATATTTTGGTTGATCTGATTGTGGAGATTGGGTGCCACTCTCAGGCACTTCTAATGTTTTGAATTTAGGAGGGCTGTAGCGGCTTTTCACCCTTTTCCTGTTGTCCTTGAGGTTGAAGAGGATGCTGGAGGCGAGTGATTTGTAGCTGTCCCGCTTGATTGGAGGTTCAGGGGTCCCTTTGGCCTCAGAGTGTGGTCTCAGTGGGAGATCGAGGGCAGAGGGCGAGAGGACAGTTTGGAGGATTTCTGATGTATCTGTTGGTTGTCTGGAGGGAATAAGGGGAGTCATCAGCTGGCAGATGCTGAAGGGAGTCGATGCCAAAGAGCTGACTTCATCAATTGCTTTCACCTCTACCGATCTAGCTTCCTTTTTGACCAACCAAAGACTTTCATCTGCTGTTTTTGAACTATTTTCCTGAGGGGGTATCCCAGGCTGATTGACTGGAATCACACTTTTTGCCCTGGACCTGTTGCGCCTCCAGGGGGCAGCACTCCCATCCCCACCGTCTGATGTGCACCTCTTCTCAGCCGGAGTAGCTGAGGGCTTTGGCAGGACCTTAGGCGGAGGAGGGGGAGGGATGGGTTTAGGAGCAGTGGGAGGAGGGGGCTCAACTGCTGCTTTCTGGCATGACTGTGGCTCCTCTGTGTGCAGAGTCTCTTTTCTGTGTGCCTCTGTCAGCTCCTTGTAAAAAGGCAAGTCATACCATTTAGGGATGTTATCTGTGGGGAGAATAGAGGTGTCCTCTTGGCCAAAAGGGAACTGGTTAAAATCTCTCCATGACTGGAAAGGGCTAAACTCACTATGGAGGAAAAAGTTTTTGATGTTAAGTTTCTTTAGTTTGACAGTAGATTTCCCATTTTTGCTCTTTGAGGATTTCCCTGAGGGAAGGGCAGCATCTTTGCCTGTTTTGTTTGATGAACCATTTCCAGAGTGATGCTTATGGTGGTTCTTGTAATGTCCATCTGTGAGATTAGTGTGATAATCCGAGGAGAATTCAGATAGCTCTCTTTGGATGCTGCGAAGTGCAGACTTATCCCACGATTCTCCATTAGAGTCCGTCATACCTCCATTTTTGATCAACATCCCCTCACAGCTTTTCTCGGTGGCACTTAATGCCTTGAGGAAAGAAGACATGTTTGATATATTCTTCTGTTGCTGCTGTGTCCATGGCTGGGCATAGTTTTTATCATTTTTGCTTTGCCCTTGCTTTTTAGATTCCTTCTGATGAGCCTTTTTAAGAGGCTCCCCCGCCAAAGGTTTGTGGCAACTGAAAGGTGAGTATCCACACAAGAACTCGTCATTATAAACCGCGTCATCTCCAACGCAGAGACTTCGGAAGGCCCGATCCGTGAGAGTGCTGACCTCGCGATCGGTCTCGTCCATGAACAAGTCAGAGAAGCCATTGGGGAAGCGATGGTGGAGCATGCTCCCCACCCGGTGGCTCATGTGTCGCTTTTCCACACAGCTCATGATGTCAACAACCTTCTTTCTGTCTCGTGCATCACTTGACTTGCCTCCTCTACAGCTCCTGCAGCTCTGTAGATGTTTTGGTTTTCGTCCAGCTCAGGTTGTCATTAGGGAAGTGGTGGGATATGCAAACTTCCTAAAACGAGACAGTGAAATCAGTGTCAGTGTTTAAGAGTTTAAAGTTACTCACTCACACATTGTCAGCCATTATCAGACTTTGTTTGATAATTACTATAAAAGGTTTTGAACTCCGTAGTGGCACTGATGACCTTTATGTACATGACATATGCCAGCTTCAGCCATGCTGTCACTATGCAGGGAGCAGACAAACACTTCATGCCATGCGCTTGGCTATTTTAAGCACTGTATGGTGCCTTTAGCTGTGAGCACTAAGCATACTGTTGGTAGCTGGGTGAACAGCTCCTTGTCCATTTATAGGAATGTTATTAGGGAAGATAAGCATTTCTATTGTTCAGGTGTGTGCATGTCAAAGGAAGTACCCACACTTCACATTGGTCCCTTTCAAATTCAGTCATATCTTTTTCACTTTTAGTAGGTTGGTATTTAGACAATTTCTCTGGAAAGCTCCAGAACAAAATTCATGCCTGCAGGTTAACACCACAGAGGAAATGCATATAAATCATCACATCAGTCACAGAGCGCCTCAACAGCAGCTGCTCTACTGTAGCTTACTTTAGCTATCTGGGTGAGGTCTTAGAATAGCTCATTAACCCATTTATATGTCCTGACCTGGGAGCACAGCCATTGGCATATAACTCAACTCTTAAACTATCTGCATAACCATAACTCTCCTTATAAGCAGATGAGTTTGAGACAAATATAAACACAGACATTCAATGGTCCAATTGTGTATTTGATTGTATCTGTCCATTAAAAGTGTGTAGTTTGAAAGCAATCTCAGTTGTCATGAGATTCGTGTTCACAGATGAATATGATTTGAAGAGAGGTGGGTGAGTTCACAACAGCCAATAAGACAAATCATTATTATTATTATTGGAACCTAACAAGCCAGGTAACATTACTAGAAATTAATGACTTTACTGTATCTTGAGCTTGACTTACAGAATGTTTTGGCTTTCCAGGAGACTTTGGTTGCCAACAGTCTACCAGCTCTCATAACCAGAGATCAGTTAGCAGCCTTCGGTACTTTCCCAGCATATGCTCGTTTATTTATACCCAAGGAATGAGGTTGCCCAGTTAACTATACTGTATATAGGTGCAACCATTGAAATACAGTTTTAAAGTTTCCTCAACGATGTGTTAATATTGGTGTAAATTATAAGACAATTGTTATGTGTAATGATTTTATAGCAATAACATCCAGGAGCCCTTGTGCTGTGAGACTTTTTGGATATTAATGTCTTGCTCAAATGTGAAATTTCTTATATCTTATATTCTGTCTACTGGCCCTCATTTTTTTATGTCTGTACAAACATTCACGTTTACTCTGCTCCCTCACCTTCATGATGGGTCTTCCACGCCAACTGTAACCGTCCAGTCTAGACTTTGGTATCAAACACAGATCCTCAACGTAGATTCCAGTGCAGAGCCACCTGCTGACAATAAATTCTTGTTAGCAGTTGTCATTCATGGTAATAGGTCTTTCACTTGAAGTTGAAGAAACAAAAGAAAACTCACCAAAGTGAGTCAAGCCCTCAGATCCATGTTCAAATGCACTGGTGTGGCTAGGGTCCTGACAGCGAGCTCAGAAGATACCAAAATAGACGCACAAGTCAGTGTGGCCAAACTGAGCAGCAACACAGGACGCAGCTAGCTAGCTCACACTGGAGCAACCAGTGGGTGTCGAGTGGCAGGGCAAGGCAGGGCAGCAGGATGAAATGGACACTATCATTGGTTATTTTTGTAACTTAGCAGTGAGGGCTGATAGGCTCCCTCATGGACCATCTCTTTACTGTTAGGCACCTTTGAAGAGATGACAGGGCCTTCATGTCAATGAAGATGAGGTGTCAATACTTTAAGTCTCGGTGGACACAAAACAGACAGGTGGGGTGTACTCACCATTAGCCAATAATTAGCTTGTGACTCATTTTGCCTCTGTCACCCAGGGAAACAAGTTTTCTGATATAGCCCATTGCATCACAGAACTCCAAATTAGCATGACAGTCCCTGAAGTGGAGACTGGAAGCTGGAGGTGGCTGGATGTCTGCTGTTCTTGTTGCTCAAACTTTGTTTACAAGGCCGTGTTATGGACATGAAAGTGTGTGACTGGATAGTCTAGTTTTAGGACCAATGCAGCTGTTGTTGCTGCGAGATGAAGCTGAAATGGAGGGAGACATTTTGTTGACTTGTGATCCTTTGTGAGTCAGAGGAAGTCAGTGGGTGAGGTCACATGTGAATTTTGACCCTGTGCATTGCCTAAATGTGGAAAGTGGAGTGTAACAAATACTGCATGGTTACACTTGGTTTTATATGTCATGAGAGAACAATATACATAGCCTACTACTGCCTGTAGAATCACTATCAACTGTTCCATCTGTTTCAATGGGGTACTGGCTAAAAAAAAGACTTTTGAAAGCATGAAATCACAATTTCTGTTGAGCCCTCACTGGCCCCAGCAACAACTTCATGACTCCACAGCCCCAGCATCAACAGTGTATGGCTGTGCTCCATCAAGGTGCCATATTTAAGCCGGTCTATTTCTGTCGTGTTGTATTTCAAAAGGTAACAGCCTGCCTCTCTGCAGACTGCGCCTTCCACACTTCAGATAATCAGTCAAATGCTCACCCTGCACATGTTAGTTGACCAGCTTAAGGCAGTAACACGTGCTATTTTCTGCAAAAATGGTCAATACATTAGACATATATATGTTGAATGGAAAAAGTGCTGTAAACCTACACCATGTCTCAATCAAAGTGCATTAATAAGTCACTTACAACTTCCTCCTTGATATGCAATGTATATATAAACATGTATACATATCATATTTCACTAGTCTTCCAGAGCATATAATGATTGCACTTGCAGATAGTGTGGTGGTGTTTTGTTGTTGGTTTTTTGACAGGGTAAAGTCCCTGCATTATTTTGGGGAGGTAGACGTAGTTGCTGAGCAATGTGGGAATATCTTGTTGTGAGCAGAGATACTGTATGGCATTTCCCTTTTACTGTCTGCATTCCCATCTTGTCCAGAATAAGGCATGGGCCTCCCCCCTCATTCCCCTCTCACACCAGTCCTCCTCTTCAAGCCCTTTTATCCAATACTCTCTCATGCCGTAGAGGGATAGTTTTGATTTTTTTAAGTGGTCTTGTATGAGGTACTCATTCATCGTCAGTGTATTACCTACAGTAGATGGCAGTCGGCGCACCCCAACTTTGGAGAAGCAGGCAGAGCACTGACACATGTACTGCTATGGATGGGATCAGCAATAAAATGTATTTTAGCCACCTAAAAAAAAAAAGTCCCACCCAAACAATAAATATCAGTTTAAGTGTGTGCTATATTCAGAGTATTTGTACTGCTTTACCTTTTCATCAGACAGGGGCGGACTGGCCATCTGGAGGTTCTGGAGAATCACAGAATGGCTGGTACTCCAGGACGGCCGGCGGCCGCCACACAGTCATCACCGTTTTTTTTGTTTGTTTGTTTTTTTTCCTTTTTCTCCCTGATAATCTACTGTTCCACGTCCAGTCCGCTAGGTGGCAGCCTTTAAATTGGATGCCAGCCGGTCCATAGATTTCTAGGAGCCGGCCGGCCGCCAATCAAATTGAGGAAGAAGGAAGCGCGTACCGTATGCGCACCGGTTGTTGTGGGCTGGGCCGAGTCAAAGTCCAGGGCTGTTTTTTAGTCCTAGTCCGCCCCTGCCGGCAGACATTGATTTCTGGTCTGGATCAGAAGCCGATATAGCTCTTTCTTCAAAGTCAGACTTCATAGAGAAAAACAGTGATTTAATATTGTTGGTCTACCGCTGCCTTGTTCAGTTATTTCTTTTTTTGTGTTATTGTGTGACTTTGGTGTTTAAAGTGGTCAATTCAGATTCACCAAAGTCGCAACATAACACAAACTAACTAACTGAACAGCGGTAGACCAGCAGCTGCTGTTTTCAGCAAGCCAAAATTATTGTTTTCGTCCATGGAGTCTGGTGGCTTTAGATCGAGCACTGATGTGGTACTAGAGTCATTAACAGCCTAACTGTTGGAACAGGCCGTCTGATGGAAAGGTAGAGCACTGGAAATACACTCAATATAGCATACACATAAACTGATCTTGATTTTTTTTAGGTAGGTTTTTTTAGGTAGCTAAGATATGTTTTGCTGCTGACCCCCATCCATAGCAGTACATTGCTTAGTTTCTATTTTAATAATCAGCCACTTTTCCAAACTGGGGGTGTACTGACAGAAATCTATTTTAGGTAACAGACTACGGATAAGTACCTCATACAATTCCACTTAAAAAAATCTGAATTATCCCGAAAGATGATTTCTATTGACTCCCAAAAGGACTTAAATGACCAGCCCCAAAATGACATATATTACTAGTCTAACTGTTCTAACAGTAATGGTTCTAATGCAGTTTTAAAAATGTCTGGAACATCATGAAACAATTCCACTCCAAACCAGCATGGTCAGGTTTGGGAAAAACATCATGGTTTGGCATTAAATAAATACTTTTGTCACTAACATAACATGACATACAGTATGTCATGTGACATAGGTGACATACGAGACATTACAGATGCCATTAGCATGGCATGCTACACATACTAGCATACTATACTAAGTTGGTATTAAAAGAAGTCAACGTTGATTTTGGTTAACTACGGTCTCTTCAGTGAAAGTCCCAGGTTTGTTTGACCTTTGACCCTCTTCGATATTTGTACAACACAATGTTGACAATGTTGACATCGCTTGTTACGTCACGTCACATCACGTAACGTCACGTCACGTCACGTCACGTCACGTCACGTCACGTCACGTCACGTCTCCTCTGCTCCTGCAACTACCACGGTCACAAGATGGCTGTAGTAGTTATGATAAATGCAAGTAAGCTGCTCGCACAGTCAACATATGTGGTCATGTTTTTCGGTGAGAGCGAGCTGCTTTTCTCACCTTTCTCATTTTGCCTCCAACCCTCCAAGACCAACTTAGATCCAGTTGTTGTGCCAACCACAGTTATTCCCTAGGTCCTTGCCAAGAAGGTCACCCACACTGTAATGTTAAAGTTAAATTCAGACCTAATTCTTTCTTTTTGTAAACTTTAAAATTGTAAACTTGAAAGGTGGTTGTAAAAACACTTGTAGTTTTCTCATTATTTATCAGTAATTTAGAAATTACAATTTGATATTCAGTAAGTAATTTATGAATCATTCTCTGTGACTCAGACATATCAAACGGTTTGTTTGCTGTCTTATCTTCCCATGCAGGAGATGGATTTTTAAGATATTCATTTGAGAGACTGATCCAGGATGTGTTAGCTTGGTCCAAGGCTAAAGCTGGGTCCAGGTGGCTAACCTCCACCAAAAGAGGATAAATATTCCCTTCCTTCCGGTAAGTTGTTTTACTGTATGTCATTTCTTCTTAGCTAATGAGCTAGCAACTTGTGAACATGCAAGAGGGGTGCTGCAAAGCATCACCTGGGCTAAACTAGCTGTATATAGTCAGCAAATGCCTCCAGACTGTGGGCTGGTTGCTGGATCTATTGTTTTGTGTTTCTGATGGTAAATACATTAATAATGTCATTTTGTGCAATCAATACATTTGTTTGTGCATGAAATCCATCTGTAAAATTCAAAATTTACTACAACAAAAGAGTCCCATAGACATAATGAGGTAAATTCATGATTTAGGATAGTCAACAAGTGAGATCGGATAGAGCAGCTATGACCAAACTTTCTCATTAGCTAATTCATGCTAATGTTATCAGCCAACACACTCTCACTCTGACTTGGAGTTTCCACCTCCACATACGAAGTGCAAGCTACCCTGGTCGCGTTGGTTGTTGACATTCTGGGATGCCATGTCAAGTTTTGCCTGTTATATGCATTGGCTTCTTTCAAGATACACTTCTGTTTTCACAGGAAATTTACCATTTACATACAGTCTCTTTCAAAATAAACGTACTACATTGGTACAACCCGCAATTTGAAGTTTTTTTTTCCTTCAACAACAAACACACATGGTTAGGTTTAGGCAACAAAAGCATGCGGTTAGGATTAGGAAAAAAGAACCGGGTTTGGCTTTAGAATCTTACGGAACACAAACACCGCTCTCTCAGGTGAAAGTCGGTGTTTGTTAGACCCATCCACCACCCCTCCTGCCAGCTCCAGTCGGCCGCCTTAACTTTCGTCCTTGTCCCGCCGCATTTTGCCCTGACACAAATTCTAACGGCAACCAGCCGCATATCATGCCAATGTTAAAGAACACCTTTTTTTCGTTGGTTTTTGATGCCACAAGTCACTGCCCAAGCTAACAGTTTATAGCATATAAAATATGTACAGGAAATACAAACATAAGAGCATGCATTTAGATCATATATCACTGTGATACAAAGATAACAAAACAAAACAAAAACAAAAAACAGTGTTAAAAGAGCGAGAGAGCTGACACAAATATAATTTGGGTAACAGACACCTTAGAGTGAAGTCCAGTGCACCAGGGTCAGGATTCAGTCTTTGTTTGTGGCATTATGACTGACACCCACATGTGTTCTGGTTGGCTGTGACATCACAGGGAGCCAGCAAGCAGCCTGGCTCATGCCCCTTCATGCCCACTAAGAACTGAGACAGACAGGCAGAGGGGATAACTGGCCTTCAGGACCGACAGGCTAGTTAACCC